ACAGCGGTAGGAAAACTAGATGAAGTGTTTGCCCTAGCGGGTGAGACGACGAAACTTATCTATCTGAATCAAAAAGCCCTTCTCCCGGGCTTCATTGAGCCTCACACGCATGCTGTGTTATCGGTCCGGTTTAACGCGGCGTTCACTAACATTAGTGGCTATGATTACCACACATATGACGAGGTAAACAGAAAAATGAAGGCGACTATTTGTGAACTCGGCAAGGAAACCTCTCCTCTCCCATGGGCGTTGTTCATTGGTTGGGACCCAGAGCTTATCCCTAGCTTGCCATTGCTTTCTGCGGACTTTCTGGATAAAGAATTTTCGTCTGAAGTCCCCGTCGTTGTGGTTGGCCAGAGCGGTCATGTTGCCTGGGTAAATCGGAAAGCTTTTGAGGTAGGTTATCATCTACGCTTTTGAGCTAGTGTGCTTATTTTGAAGATTTGTCAGTATTGTTAATGTTTCGATTAAGATTCCATGCGATTGTCTCGGCTACCCGTCTGAGAAACTCAAAAATGATTGGCCGATTTAGATTATCTGAAATTAACCCGAGGGAAAGGTATTTCGTAGTCAATCGTCTCTGTTAACTGAAAAAGAAAACAAGCAAAAATAAACTGCGTGGTTTCAAACCAATATTCCGTTACAGATCATTTGGCCCGAAAATATTATACTTCATCGCTATACCGGGCGGGGCAAAACCAAACTCTATTTCATCCCCATTAAACCGCATGCAAATATATAGTGCGCACTATTTTCTTCGATTCAACGAAATTAGAACGAACGAAGACAAAAAGCTTTCTCTTGGGCGTAATAATGAGAGCAGTTTTTTCAGTCGTGACTTATCTACATTTGGCCTCCTGTGTGTGGAAGATGCGATAAAATGCAGGTTGTTTACAAGGAGTTAACACGCGAGTCCAAAAGAATGAGGAGGGGGGGGAGGGGGGGGCAAGAATGGGCGAAAAAGAATTGACGTCGATGCGCCGCGAGAGCTCTGTGAGTGATGCACTTGAAAAGTTCCTACGAAGATAGCTGAAGACGAATTCGATTGGTAGAAAATGTCAATATCTAAGTGCTTACTGTTTTTAGACCTTCTACCTTCTCCCTTAAAAGGAATTGGTTAATCGAAGAGGATGTATCCTTTACTTTCTCATTAAAGAACATCAGGGACCATAGCAGAAATAGTACTTAGTGCCTTTAATTACTGAAGTACTCATTCAGTGTTTTCTTGTCCGTGATAAAAGGTGGCTAAGGTAGATGACTCAATCGAAAATGAGGGTGGCGGAGTGTTTGTCAAAGATGATCAAGGACATCTGACTGGTCAGCTGTTTGAGACGCCTGCAATACTACGTGTCATAGGCCATGCACCACAACCAACAGTTTCAGATTTTGAGACAAAAATAAAGGAGCAATGGAAAGATTTTGCTTCCCGGGGCTTCACAACAGTCACTGAAATGGGTTACCTCAGCGACCCAGAGTTTGAGCCCCTCCTCAAGAAGGAGTCTAAACAAAGAGACTGTCCCATCCGCCTAGCCTTGTACCGAGTGGTCAACGGTCCTGCAAAAACTGTCAGGGAAGAGAAATCTTCAACTCGCTTTCATTATCAATGCTGTCCTAGCTTGCTGCGAAGACCAAGCCTAAACCAAGATGAACCAACCATTGAGGGGTCTGACAAGCTGTGGGTAGCTGGTGTGAAGCTTGTTGCAGATGGCTCCCCTCACTGCGGTACTGCTGCAGTACAGGAGCCATATTTGA